TTATTCCATCCAGAAGATATAGTAGTTATGAGCACTTACATAGTTACATATCATCAAAATATATGGATCAAAGAAGATATAGTGGTGATGAGCACTTATATAGCTACCTCTCATCCAAATACATAAATCAAAGTTTTTAAATCCAAAAATAAGTTGACAAATCCAATATCACAGTAGTTATATTAAATAAAATTCTATCAAAAATTGTCACATTTAGTGGACAAGAAATAAGAAAAGAGATCTAGATAACATAACTAAACGTGTTTAATGGGTATATGTAGAATTTTTTATGTTCTTCAAAATATCCCTTTGGTAAATAGGAACTAAAAACTGACATTAATCAACTATTAGACCTTAATATCAATAAGAATATCACATATTAAAACATGAGTAACAAAGTAGACCTAAAGAAAGAAGTACAGAATAAAGATAGAGACAGAAATTAATGATATATTCACAAAAAGAAACAGTCAATTTAAAAAGATTATTTTTAAAAAAACAATTAAATAAAATTTTTGGAAAGTCTGATTAAGGACCTTAAAAAAGGCCTGGCCAATGTGGCTCAGTGGTTGAGCATTGACCCATGCACCAAGAGGTCACCACTTCAGATCCTGCTCAGAGAACATGCCCAGGTTGTGGGCCAAATCCCCAGGGAGGAGCATATAGGAGATGCCCAATCGATGTTCTCTCTCATTGATGTTTCTTTCTCTCTCCCTCTCCCTTCCTCTCTCTCTAAAATCAGTAAAGAAAAAAAAAATTTTTTTTTAAAAAAGAACACAACATTAGGACACTAAAAAGGGACAAAGATAAGATGCCAATTATAATGTTAATTAGTAATGTATATTAATATATTTTATATAAGTGAGTGGATGGTTTCCAGGAAATGTAAATTACCCAAATTAACTCCAAAAGCTGGGGGGTGGGGGGAACTGACTAGACCAATATCCACAGAAGAATTAAGAAGATAGATATCTAACCTTCAAGTTCCCCCTTCCCCACACAAAATGGAAGAGGAGCTGCCACCTTGAAAAAATTTGTGTGTATTCTACAAAACAATCAAAAACACAATGTCTGTGTCATTCAAATGTCAAAACATATTACAAGTGGAAAATTTCCCAATTAATTCTATGACTAGCATAATTCTGATTCCAAAACATATAAGGGTGATTCAAAACAAACATGATTTTTTAAGTTTATAAAACGTTTACTTTAAAAAAAATCTCTGTATGAATATAAGATAAAACTCCAAAATAAAATATTGGTATATAGAATCCAACTGTCTATTTTTAAAATAGTATTTTAAAACCAATATATTCAGTGAAAAATTAAAGCAAATTTGTATTTTTAAATGCCATAAAATAGACTGTTGTGTCCTGGCCAGGTTTCTCAGTGGGTTGAAGCGTCATCCCATACACCAAAAGATTGTGGGTTCAATTCCCAATCAGGACACATACCTAGGTTTCAGATTCAATCCCTGCTCGGGGCTCATATGGGAAGCAATTAATTGGTATTTCTCTTTCACATCAATTTCTCTCTCCCTCTCTCTCTCTCTCCCTTCCACTCTTTCTAGAAATTAATGAAAGTATATCCTCGGTGAGGATTAAAAAACAAACAAACAGACTGTTGGGTGTGAGTGTGTGTGTGTCAATGCAGAGAGGAGTCTGAGGGAGTCATGAGGGACTATTAGCAAGGCTCCTAGGGGAGGATAAAAAGTCAAGGTTGAAAGAGAGCTGGGAGGGGAACTTTGTTTCATATCCTCTGTCATGTTTTGATTTTTACAAGCATGGATTCATAAAGTAGAGAAATTTAGAGTCTAATAATGGGGTCAACTGTGAAAGGCCATGCTAGGAGCCAGAGCAAAACTCTGGAGTATCTCATCCATGTCTTTCAAAAGGAGGATGAGGAGGACTCTCGAGTTGCCCGTAAAACAGAGACGTCCTTCCATGGGTGTCCTAGTAAATGTGGTAGTCATCAAACTCAAATGACATAAAGTGAAAAGGTGAGTGGGAGTTCATCACTTCAAGGAGGACTCAGAGGCCCAGAAGACTGTAAAAAGTTAGCGATGGTGTTCTCTTGCCAGATTCTTTTCTCTGGATGCACACATTCTTGTTATACACTTTTAAAATGGATTGCATTTACTTAAGATGATCTCGTCCATGTGGTTGCTACTATACGTAACGATTAGTAATCTAACTCAAAATGAAACTTGATGCTAGCATGATAGCCACACAACCTCATTTGTCCTGTAAGGCAAGGGGACAAAATTTAAGTATATCATGAGGTTACTTATCTGAGATATACTACCTCTATATTATATACTTAAACTGTAATTAAAAACACTGTTCTGCTTTTTGCTGACAACTTTATATAGGCTGTCTGAGTTAGAAATAACTGTACAAATACATGTACAGTTACCCAGTCCCCTCTCTAACCTCAACCATGTTCAGATCTTTGATTCCATCATCTTATTCCCAAAGGATAGTCAAGGGGTCTGAAATTGATGTTGCCACCTAGCGGATCAAATACTGATACATTAGAAAGCCTCTCAGTTCATCTTCTTTGATACTTGCTCACAGCTGGTTTTTCTAAGTTCCAGTCGCTATTTCACTACCTGAAACCTATTTGTAGTACTGAATTATTGTTCACTTCAAAAACGGCCAGCTATCAGATCTAGGGAGAGCAAGCTTTCTGTTTGGTGAGACAAATGGGGCATTTGGGGGTCATTGGGCTTCACATGCTGAATAAAGAACTCTTGTTGGTTTTGGGTTACTGGTTAGTCTACCCCTATAATTTATTGGCTTGTAAAAAAGTAAGACATTTTATGGATTTTCCTGAATAGCTTTCCTTATTCTCTGTTCTTTGATAAGTAATCAAACAGTAATAAACACATTTCTCAAGTTGCACCTGAGAATTTCTACAAGCTGAGCTGAAATGATTTTTTTTTTTTTAATGAATGACAAAGCTAGATTTCAGCAATCACCAGGGTTACATTTTCTCTTCATCTTCCCACGGTTGTGAAACGGCTGCAGATTGCTTTCTTTGTACTCTTGGGAAGCTGACAGGGCCCGATGGAGGAGTTTCCAGCAAAATGCCAAGTGATCCATCCCTCAGAAACAACCATATCGCCCCGCAGAGGTGTCTTTCTCGGCCAGGAATTATAATGGGTCTGGTAGAAGAGGCCAGGATCTGATGAAGCCAGGAAAGCAAAGGTCAGTGCATTGTGTATCAAAAATGAAAAAGAGAAAAGGTGTAATTACATTTCAATTCTAAAGGTCATATTTGGAGTTGTATTACAGTGACTTGATGATTATTTCTTTCCTTCTACTTCCTTTTTATTCTTTCCAGAAAAAGATGCTGAAAGGTTATTTTCTGTGACTTTGAGGAAACCAAAGCTGTAAAGCCAGATTAGGGTAGTAGTAAAACATACTAAGTTATCATGAGCAAGCCAAGGACCTTTTAATTCATAGGCCTAACAAAGGTACAATAAGATCATTTGAAATGACACAGCTAAAGTGATTAGAAATGAATACACAGCCCTAAAGAATCATTGTTCAGCCCTGGCCGTGTGGCTCAGCTAGTTGGAGTGTCATCTTGTGCACCAAAATGTCACTTGTCAATGCTCATACGTAGGTTGTGGGTTCAATCCCCAGTCGGCAACCGATCGATGTTTCTCTCTCATATTGATGTTTCTCTCTCTCCCTTCCTCTCTTTCCAAAATCAATAAGAACAATAAATAAAAATAAAAGAATCATTGTCCAGTAAATCTGGAAACCTCCCTAATGCCCTCCCTATTAATCTTGCCTCGCCTTGGAAACTGCTATTCATCTAAGTAAAACCGTGGAAAAGCATGCAAATCCCATCGTGATTCCAGCACACCTGTCAGGCTGAAGACAGAAGTTATGGGTGAACTGCTAGAGTTTTTGTGTTGTGCTTTATATATATATATGGTCTTAATGATGTTCTACTTTATCTTCTGTCATTATAAAATGCCATAGAGGGTTATGAAATTTTTTTTTTCTGTTGTACTTTATTTAGTTTTTTCTACATTTCCTCTGGAAGCCAAGAATTCTTAATGATTGCCTTTGCACCAATCCATTAAATATTTAATGTGTCTACTCTGTTCAAAACATACTGACAGTTGTTTATTATACACTAGAGTGTGCTTCCCAACCTGTCTTCATCATGACATATACAGAATGATAGTACCTGTGTGGCACACCAGAGGGACAGGTCACCACCACAGACAACTCTCTGACAGATGGCACGACACCTGCAGTCTTCTTAAGCAATCCAGAATCTTTATGGAAAGACAGTTAGAGAGTGTTCAAATATAACTTCAACTGTGGTATCATTTTAATGGCTGCAGAAAATGATGTAAAATTGTTATCACTTTAAAAATTTTAGAGTCATCAGTGTCACATGGAATACCTATAAACAATTTGATGGCCTTCCAGTAGGATTCTACATACCAGTCAGGAAGCACTGTACTAGAGAAATTAGAGGCCCCATAGAGATGGGCTTATCTTTATTGTTCTTAACGTGGGAAGAATCCAAACCAGGAATGGTCCATAGTGTATGGATTCTATATGTCCTCTCATTCTTTTTCAGCAGTGTGTGTGTGTGTGTGTGTGTGTGTGTGTGTGTGTGTTTAAAGTATGTTTTTTCTTCTGTCATCAAGAATTTCTTTCTTGGTATCCACTCTGGGGTATTCAGAAGAGTTCTAGTCTTGTTGCCACTCTTCCTGCCTTTCCCTGCTTAAGTGTGAGTTTGTAGTCTTCAAAAGCTGAAGAAGAAACAAGTGATTTTAAGACAGAGATAAAAAAAAAAACTAATGCAATCAGTGAGCAACAAGAACTGGGTAAAATAGTCCATCAGCCAGTCCAAAGTTTTGCTGTTTTTCTTCTTAAATGCAGGGGCAGTTTTTTAAAAAACTACAAAGATAGAGATGGCTAAATCTTCATTTTGAAAGGTAAATATCACCATTTCCTCCTTTCTTGCAGTGATAAGGTGATAAGACTTATCCCCAATACAGAAGAGGAAGCATATGCACTGAAGAAAATATGCCACCAGCTTAAGGTAAGAGAATGCCCACTCACTTATCATTGTGTTTATAATGTGTTTACAGGACTTTACTGACTAGAGTTGAATAATTGGAATTAATTAGCCAAGGGAAGAAAATTCTGAGAGAATATGAAAGAGCTCCTAAAGGGTAGTTAATGTTATTCAAATATTATTATATATCTGACCCATCATCTATTTACTGGTTCATTTATTTACTTTCCCGCTCCCTTAGTAGGATGTAATCTTCATGAAAGAGCTCGTATATTTCTGTTCATTGCTGTATTTTCAGTGAGTCTCTGAAATATTCTAGAAGCTCAGCAAATGTTTTGTTGTTTAATGAATGCATGGATTTGGTTTATAATTTCCAGAGTTTCACATTTCCCTCCTGAAATCTTTCTGCTAATCACCTAGACACTTTACTTCTAATTAAAATTTCAACAAGAAGTGAGTTGAAGAAAATAACAGCTAGAAATTGAAGTTAATTAATTTTGCTATGATTCAGTGGATTTGATAAGAGAATTTTGTTGGCAAAGGTTGAAGGGATCTTTGATGGATTTTATGGATTTTAGAGTTAGAGATTTTCTCATTCCCATTACTGCATATAATTGAGTGTTAACTTTAGCTAAAGGCTTGTGATGGAAAGTGTGGTGATGGTCTCTTTTCCCTGCTTGCCTTCCAAGAAGAGAAGTGAGCCCATAAAATGTGGTGGTTTAGCTGCATTTTCATGAAGAGCAAAGCAGACTACCAAAGAGGTCTTACTAGTCTTCCATATGGACTAGAAAAACATGTGTCCTGGATGACTGGAGTGCAGTCCTACCTGAGTGTACCTGGAGAAGGTGTTGGGATGAGGACTAAGGGAGGAGGGATGGACTCAGTAGCTTCTGGAAACATTTGTAATTATCAAACTTTTGGTCTTCTATTTTTGGTTTGATTTATCTCTTTGACATCTTTCCTTCAAATATTGAATTTATTTTCAGTTGACGTTTTTAATTTCTAATGTATTAATTTTCTTTATTCTCCCTCACCCCCAGCCCCTACCCATGCACTGTTCAGTTTAAGGCTGGTGTCTCATTATAAGAGCCTGGAGTGAGGATGCAGGAGCTTATCCCCAAATTGTTATGATGTTTGTCCAATTCCAGAGAGACTGTGCTTGCTGGGCATCTCCCAACCCACCTCTCTCCCTCAAAGGAATCTCTGCTCTGTCCACTGACATTAACCTTCTCTGGTCTTATCTTATCTGATCATCAACCCCATTATAGCCTTTTCAGCAGCAGTATCCGAACACTATCAACACAATCCATCAGGGCCTCAAAAGTTGCAAAGAAGCAAAGCCAGTTTCAAGTAGAAGTTTCCACCTCCATTGCAGTTGTGTTTTGGATACACCACTGGAAAAATAAAATAGCCACTTTACACCTTGGGGTCCAATATTTTAGGGAAAAAAATATTCTTAACCAAATATCGAAAAGAATAATTAGGATTTTCCCCTCAATTGGTGAATATATTACATGGTAGGCCTTACAAAGTTATGAAAACAATTGCATTGTTATATATGTGATTACTTACTATTATCAAAAGCAATAAAATGACATCAGTGAGGACTAGGAGGGTTACTTATAAACTCTTGTAAATCACAGTAAATGGAACTGAAAGATGTTGAATATGGCTAGGACTGTGCACACTGATGAATGACAACACATTTATATTGGACGCATTTTTGTACACACTTAAAGAAAAACATTCCTGCATATTGTATTCATTTAGTCCTGAAGGAAAAATAATAAACAGGGGAGGGGGAAGGAAAGGCAGAGGAAATGGTTTGGATGTGGAGGAGCTTAGATGACATTGAGAGAGGGGAGGAAGGGGCTGGTGAGGAAGAGGGGAGCAAGGTAGTGAGGGAGAAAGGAAGTTGATACTAGAATGTCCAAGGTGCTCTAGGCAGTTAGCCACTCTTCTCAGTGAGGAGAGGGGACACCCTCCCAAGATCTAGGTTCCCAGAGGCCAGCTAAGGGCCCATCCTGCAAGCAGGCCTTTCTAAGGGTAGCAGTTTTGGGCCTCCTATGTTAACTCTGCACATTTCTTCATTTCCTTTCACTAAAGAAATAGTTTTATGCCCTGGCTGGTTTGGCTCAGCAGTTAGAGCATCGGCCGGCAGGCAGAAGGGTCATGGGTTTGATTCCCAGTCAAGGGCATGTACTGCCCCAGTCAGGGTCATTCGGGAGGCATCCAATTGGTGTCTCTTTCACAACAATGTTTCTCTCTCTCCCCCTCCCTCCTTCCCAGTCTATCTAAAAATTAATGGAAAATATCCTTGCGTGAGGATTAACAAAAAAAAAAGAAAAGAGATGGTTTTATTGAGCTGAAGTTTGAGGCACTGAGCTTGAATAAATTTTGCTCTAAAAACATCATGTTAACTTGCTGTCGTTTTATGTAAATGCTTCCAGCGAGTGATTCACTCACACTACTAAAAGCAGGAATTTTGGCCAGGCAGAGAAAGCAACCTGCAGAGAAGAAGAATAGGACTGCCTGTCATCTTATGCCCTGTAGAGCTGATGGACTGAATTGGAGCCATTGTTAACAGCTCCTTTGCACACCTGTGTACTGCCTCTTGAGGGGAGGGAGAAGGGTTTGCCAGAAAGCCTTTAGTTGCCTTTTTTCCCTAACACAGAGTGTGGTAGACAGAATTCTCAAGTGGCCCCAAGATTTCTTCCCCCTGGAGTACACGCCTGCATAATCCCTGTTCTGAGTGTGGGTAGGACCTGTGAGTAGGATGGGATAGTCATTCCCTTGACATATTATATTATGTGGTAGAAGGGAGAGTACCTGGGATAAGCCTGACCTGACCAGGTGAGCCCTTTAAAAGCAGAGAGTTTTCTCCAGCTGTTCATAGAGAAAGAAATCAGAGAAATTATCCTACTGGTCTCAAAGAAGAATCAACCGGTGTGCTGTAAACTGTCCTTGAGAGCCACGTAATCAGGAATGCCCTTGGCCTCTAGAAGGTAAGAGTCATCCCCAACTAATAGGCAGAAAGAAAATGGAGATGTCAGTCCTACATTCTACCATCACTATATGAGCTGGGAAGATGACCCTGAGGTCCAGACCACATCGTAGCTCAGCTAGGACCTTGATTTTAGCCCAGTGAGACCCTGAAGAGAAAATCCAGCCAGCTGCACCTGAACTTCACCTACAGAACCTCGAGATGATAAACGGGTGTTGTTTTAAGCTGCTGTGGTTAATTTGCTCTGCAGCAATAGAACACTAATGTACACAGTATGGTAACAACCTTACATCTTGGCCTTTGATGGCCCTTAGGTGCATATATGAATGCTTTAAGTTTTCTGATTTCACTAGCTATCACCAAGGGGCTCTGGAAAAGTGAAAAGTGATTAGACTACATGTTTAGGCTGTAAATTCACAGTGTCTTATCTGAAACATGAACAAATGCAAAATGTATGTGCAACATTGAGCAGAATCTGAGAAGGTACAGTCAGAGAATAGCTAATTAGATGTGAAACTGCTACAAAGCTGGTTACTTTCCTAATTAAATTTTATGGTTTTGCTGAAGAATTAAAACAAGAAAGTTAAACAGAAAACCACGCCCTCCAGACAACTTGATTGAGAACACACCAATCAATTAAATTGTTGAGTAAAAGCATAGCCATGGTTTAAATCGACTTGTCATGGAAGGGGAATAGTTTGCAGGTGAGTAAAATTAGAGTCTGAACACCATGTTCTGCCCACATTTCTTCACAAATTACCCGTGCTCTGAAAGAATAGAAATGGTTTTATGTAAGACCACAGAACAAGTTCCTATTATAGAATTGACACATCCTTGTTGAAAGAAAAATTAATGATGCTTCTGTTTCCAGTTTTCTCATCAGAGAGCTATATGATTTAAAAAAAAAAAAAAACTGTCCCATATCCAGAAGTTTGCCATTTTTACAAACTAAAACGTAGCCCCAAAATATTAGCTAGCTTGTGAGGTATCACTGAGTGAAAGGTCGAGTCCTATGAAGAAGGCTTCACCTCTTCTCTTTGTCTTGAATGTGAAATTTGCTGCTGCCTTTCCCAGGTGTTATCTCCCTCCTCAACCCTGTGCTGTCGTTAACTGCTCTCTTCTCCCAAGTCATACACCTGGACCTACAGGAGCTTCAAACATCTGTGGTCCCGAAGAGCAGACAAGCTCAAACATCCAACTGGATTATTTAATTGATTGGGGAAATTTATGAGGAAAATAATGGGTGATAGAATTCATGCTGTGGGAGTTACTTGCCCCCATTTTCATTAGACCCTGGTTATGCTGTTATAGGATATTCTTTTTTAAATACTGCCTGTTATTTTTTCTTTAATTTTTTTATTGAGTTTTAGAGAGAAAGGAAGAGGGAGGGAGAGAGAGAGAAACGTTGATATGAGAGTGAAACATCTATCAGCTGCCTCCTGCACACACCCTACCAAAGATTAAGCTTGTAACTTGGGCATCTGCCCTGACCAGGAATCGAACTGACAACCTTTCAGTGCATGGGACAATGGTCAACCAACTGAGCCACACAGACCAGAGCTATTAAAGGATATCTTAATCATGACTGTGGTAGTCAGAATTATAAGATGGCCTTCAAGATTCTTGGCCCTGGTATATACACACCTTCTCTCGGGTACTCCATCAAACACTAATCTAGTTCCTGCTATAAAAAGATTTTGTGCAAGTAAATAGGGTCTCAAATCAATTGACCTTGAAAAAGAAAGATTATTCAAGTGGGCCTGGCCCAATCATGTGAGGCCTTTAAAACAACAGTGTTTTCGCCAGCTGATTGCAAGAGAGGAAATAAGACAAATGCACTTCTGCAGGCCTAGACATCCATGCAGGGAACTGCCACACAGCAAGAAAGCGTAGGAGGCCTCTCGCTGTTCCCAGTGGACTGGAAAGAAAACAGGGACCTCAGTCCTACAACCACAGGGAATGAATTTTACCAGCAACCAGAGGGAATGTAAGAGGATCCTGAATATCAGATAAGACCATA